TGAGGGCGACCGAGTGGTCTAGACCAGCTGCCACTGCACATATTTTGTGCGTATAGTCGACCTCCTGGACCAGTTGCTGCACCAGATGGCCTGACAACGTCGCAACACGAACCGCCCTCTCACAGTGTGAATTCTACATACACACTTCAACGCTCCTTTCTGCCAAGTGCATGCTCATCCTTCCGAATGACAAACTGTCGGAAAACCTACCGGTTTTCGAGTCCACTGTATCTTTGAAAACCCGGTCTACAAACTTCAGGGGGCCGACGCAGGCCATTCCCTGCTCCCTTGGGGTCTGCGGTTCCCCAAGTTGTCCTCTATCCCCCCAACCCCATGCATATACACTGGGGACAAGGTTGAAGTCCTGCCAACTTCCTCCCTTGACAACTGCTCGGACGCGGGTGGCGAAGTTCTCGGAAGCCGGCTGTCTCACCGCTAGAAGCGCCAGACTGTGGTGGCCGCCAATTGCCAAGTCTTGAAGCTGAGCAACGAGACACAAAACCACAGATTTGTTACCGAGAGTGAGCCACTGAATCGCAGCTCAAGCATAACCCGTTGGGTATGACACCCAGAAGAGCCACGTGCGCTGTTGTCCTGCCGCACTGAGTTGCAGGGATGGCAAACATTGCAGGCTTTGCATATTGAATCATGATACGCACCATAATCGGCACCATATGTGCAGCCTCAGCCATGTATCCGTTGTGTTGCCTGGTCAGAGATATCTCTATTTGCACTAAAAGATCCTGAAGCGGCTGTGCCCACGTGCGAGGATATATAGCACGGCAATCGCAGTTTGCATTCAAGCTGATGGGGTAGGCATAGTGGGTCTCCTGACGCATTCGTTCAACTCTGAACACCCCTTGGACCCTCAGAAGGTGAGGTCTCAGCAGTTCAAATGAAACACGCTCACGTCGTTTGATCACAGAGTCCGCTTTCTGCATCACACACACCGGGAAATGCGTGAGGCACTGATAATTTAAAAGCCAATCAAGTGAAAGGCTGAGCAGTAACTCTTCAGCTTTACTCGTAGGCCGGCAGGTGTTGCCGTCATACTGACACTCATTCTTCATCAGCAAGGGTAAATAAATGTATGAATGGCTAGAGTTGCTGCTCCCCCGGTCCACTCGGATGGCAGCTCCGCCTCACCTTTGGCAGTTTGATAGGAAGAGGCAACGCCAGTTCCAGATCCAATCCCCGTAGTAAAAGCATCGAACGCCACCAGCGCTGTATTTTTACGACCATGCGCCTGGCTAGAAGAAAGTCTCCCTGATAGCAGCATTACGCACTCACCTCAACACAACTTATGAAGCTCTACAGGGGACAACATTTTACATGCAGATCTCTAGCTTGTTGCTTCAAGGCTTAGACGGTGCGTATCGAATTAGCCTTATGTTCTTGGGTGGGCCTCAATGCCGGAAGGGCAGGGGATGTCTCACCCGACGAAGCCTCATCAAAGCTCCAGCTTGACACAGCATTGCTGCATTCCTTAGGCGTACATATTGCTGCTTGATAATGACCATCCTGAAGAAGCTTTGGATACGAACGACAGAGGTGTTCATTTGCACCCTGAGGAGAAGAGGATTGTGACAACACATGACCTGGCAAAATTTCGAACCCCAGCCAAGCGGTGATCACGCGCCTGGAACACTGGCTCGTCTCTGCGCATGCATGCTAAATATTTGGTAAACTGCAAGACAGGAAATGCATGGGACTAATGTGTTATCTCTTTTTCAGGAGTAATTGACAACGCCCTACGAAATCATTTCCCGCATCACTGTTGTCCGCCGGATAATTGGCCGGTAGTTTAGCATGACACG